GGCGCCTCCAGTCGGCGGCGCTCTGCTCTTCGCCCTGCGCTATCGTGTGACCGGCCGCGAGTTCTGGGACAACAACGGCGGCCGTGATTACGCACTACTTGGGCCCGAGCATCCTGGTGGTGCCGGAGCCGCGGAGACCCAGGGCTGGATCCATTTTATTTGAGACTGGGCTCCTGCCGGCCACAGCAGGGAATACATTGGGGCACCCGGGCGTGGGGGGAGGGCTGTGGCGCCAGGAACCCAGGGACCACAATGGGCAGATGGGTGGAGAGTCGTCCCTGAGAGTCAAGCGGCGGTGGCTGGAAACTGTCTGCGAAGCTCAGAGAGATTAGGGTGGGAAACGGCAGGTGGGTGTAAGTGGAAGGAACTCAAGGAATTCGAGAAAGGAGGCCCAGAAGGGATCTGGGAAGTTGTGCCTCCTTGGACGGCTTGAGCGTTACGGATTGAGCAACCTTGACGTGTGCAGTCCAGCCCAGTGAAGTCATTCGGATTGCTTCCCTCTTACTGGCCTTACCACCTTCAGGTCCCCATGTCCTGCCCATCCTAGCTTTATCTGAGCCGAAATTGCCTTGCTTAACCCCAGGAATTTGACTATTGCCCCCTGGGCCCTGACAGTTGGACAGGATTCGCTTAATTCTCAGCAGGTCTTGACTTCAGCCTTCAAGGAGAGAGAGTCCTTCAGTCACCGCGCAAGCCTCAGTAAGATAGTGGCAAAACTAACTCCGGGCCTGCCCTTTTTATAATAGCCAAATAATGGGGCATCTGAGGGGCTACATAGTCAGGCTTCCAGAAAAATGAATGCCAGCCTTACTTTTCTGGGTGCCTTCTTAGACCTGGAAGCACTTTATGGACTTTGTCAAGAGACAGCAAATCATGAAAATCACTGCTGATTTATTCTTTGTGCCTCTGAAAAAGAGGAAACTACCGATTATCTGTATGGTTGAGCAGGTTATTTATCTTTTGGGGCTCCAGGTTGCTCTGTGAGAAATTGGATTTGAGTTAGGTGGCCCTTTAAGGCTACCTTTGTTTGTTTGTTTTCGGACAAGGTCTCTAACCCAGGCTGGCTCCAACTCGCAGCCCTCCTCCCCTGGCCTCTGCTGTGCTGTGGTTATTGGTGTGAGCCACTATGCTCTTAGGGCTCCATTTTGGTGTTTTATAATCTGTTCATGGCACAGTATAGGTTAGAAACTGTATTCTTCAACCTAGTGCTAAAGTTAAAGCCCCACAGCAAGCCAGGTATAGTGGCACACACAGGGAGTGTTGAGTTTGAGACCAACCAGGTAATATGATTGCAACCTGAGCTACATGAGACTGTCTCGGAAAATTAAAAGAAGAAACAAGGCTTACCTAGCACAGTGAGCCTGTGCTTGGATATAAGATGAGGATAGTCTTCCTTCCTTCCTTCCTTCCTTCCTTCCTTCCTTCCTTCCTTCCTT